TTAACTTTGATCTCCAGCTTCATTATTTGAGTACGTGGTTACCATCAGAAGACACATTTCGAAGTAGGAACATACCTTTACCTTTCACAATCCAGCCGACTTATCATTCTCAGACATGACTGGAAGCATGTTTCATGTGTCAGCAACAAAATAAATGAACAATCCGCATTTAAAATTTGAACTCACCAAACGGAACTTCATTTCACACTTTTCCATTGGTTCAAAAGGCGCACGTGATGACGCACTTCACTTGGTGGGGACACTGGTAAGCAGTATAGCTCAAACATGGCGGATGATTTTGTTCGATGATCTATAGTTAAGTGAGTTGAAAAAAGCGGTCGTTTCCAGAGCTGAATAAAATATTCCAATGGTTTTCTTTTGAGGCATAAGCAGCGAGAGGAAAAATTTGTATTGTTTTTTCAGAAGCAATGACCTTTTATTAGGGAAAGCTGCGATGAAAAACGTGTTGTGGAGATGTTTGGAAAGCTCTCAGGTACGAGAAGTCCCACTTTGAATTGATCAAGCTTTCAGTATCGTGCTCACTTTTGATAATTGTTTTTTAAAGATTGAAGTTGCAATAAATGTTGTATATAGATGCTGGTTAATGTCAAGGATCCTTGTTGTTATAGGCAATTAAAGAAATGATTATTAAAATTTTTAATCTTTTCATTACCTTTGAACACTTATCATTTTTCCTAAAAATTAAGCCGATGTTCCCAAGTTAACAATGACTTGGAGTTATTGAGAATTCCTAGGAATTCCCATAAATTCTCATTGGTGTTTTATCAATTCCCAATAATTCCCATAAGTTCCAAAGACAGTTTCCTTCTAACCTGAGATCAGGCCCAATTTGAGCGGTTCTCATACATTCTCTCTAACGGCTACCGCTAAAATTGGGCCTTATCCAAACTCATTCACATTTGTGCTCATTACGGCCAGATTTTGGCCGTAGCGCTGATTGGCTGTTAGAACAATACTACAAGATCTGATTGGCTGTCGGAAACGCCGGAAGTTGAAAGCGCTTATTCCTCGAGTGGTTGTTTTCGTGAATGATCCATTGTAGGCGGAGAGAAGGATCGATTTTGCTGTCTTTTTTTATTGTTTTATGGTCTTATGGTAGGAAAATATGCCTTAATAAGTGCCATGGAAATTCAGAAAATTCATATGGTTGTTCATATCTTCTCAGGATTTGCTTTATTTATTGAAAGTGAGTGTATCGCGGAGTTGAATCCCTCTGCAAGTTGTTGATCGCTGACAAGGTGCCTTTTGATTTACCAACAAATGGGTGCAAATCAAAATACTGTCCATCTTAAAACTGGTTTCATTTGAAAGTTTAGCCGGGAATGACTTCTCTGAACGGGGTACCCAAGCGGAGGCTCACTGCGAAAGAAACCTCAATCGCCAGCTGTGAAGTATTAGACGAAAAATGTCACATCACTGTTCAAGGAATTTTCAGTGTTAACAGACTGGTTGTTTGCCTTCGCTTTTTTTTTAAAAATAAACCAGGAAAACTGGTGTCCTCACTTGTTGGCTGTTTGCTTTTGTTTTTAAAGATTTATGTATTTATCAGGAGAAATTTGCCGAGTAAAATATTAAGGCAACGGAAAAATAGAAATTTCAGTAAGTTAAATTTGAGCGTGCCTAGCCAAAATAATAAAACTAGTAGAACATCGTGTTGCTGTCTTTTTTAAAACTTTTTACCTTCTACGCCAACAGAAATAACCTGTGAGATCTCCCTTAACCCGTTCGCTCCTGGAGATTTTGCCGAAAAACGCGTTTTGAAGCTAGTCAAGTGGTTTTCTGGTCACTGTCGTGCTATAAAGAGCTAAAACTTACCACAAACCGGTTTACAGGTCGTACACTTGGCGGCCTTCTGATCCAGATGCAAAATATCAGCTTGCAAAGTTCGGGCATGCGCAGAAAGCAAAATTTCTCTCCTCCCTTCTTTTTTCGCTTTTCTTGCCTCATTTTTTTTTTCTCTTGCTGGGCATTTAGTAGGCTTCATTTTGGTGGGAAGAGTTTTTAGGAAAGCTTTTAGGATCTTAGGATTAGGTGAAAGGAAAGGTAGGTGGGTAATGGACCAAGATTTTCATGGAGATTTTCAGGTCCTTGTCACGTGGCTTTTTGCTTCTTTCTCCGGTGTCCTTGACTGAATTGTGCTCATTCTGGTATGGTTTGAAAGATCTCTTCACTCTGCACAAGTTAGCGAAGAAAGTTGTCCTTGACCGTTAAAACTGATGACGTCACAAAGGGTAGAAAGGACCTGGATCCGCACGGGCGGTTACGGGCGGTTCAGGGGCGAATGGGTTAATCAAAAAACCTAAGAATGGCCTTTTACCAACTTTTTCACCTGATTTTACATGAAATAGACAGATTTGGTTGTTTTATGCTGAAAAGTGGATTTTTTTCAAAAAGCTTGGTACTCTGCTTAATCTCGCAAGAAGTTAAATGTGATTGTGCTGACTGTTTTATGTTTAGCTGAAAAAATTAACAGATAAAAGCTATTTTTTAAGTCAGCCAGTCTGCATTTTCCCACGCGTGAAAAATTCGCATACTAGAAAACCAAGCAGCGGGAGTAATTTTGGTTGGCTGATTTGGCAAATGTCAATCAATCAAAAAAAGTGGGCGGCAGACGTTTCGTAGAAGGTTTGTATCAGGCTCTCTTTTCGTTTCGCCATGCCCGCCAGAATGTTATTTACAAAGCGAAACGAAATTAGAGCCTGATCTCAGGTTAGTTTCCTTCAAACTTGGAATTATTGGGAATTCCTAGGAATTCCCCAAAATTCCCACTGGTGTTTTCACCCATTCCCAAGTATTCCCAAATATTCCAAGGTTTTTTATCTTTGCTCATTTGCATGTCTTGGAATAAATTGGAATCCCTAGGAATTCCCAGAACCCTGGGAATTCATTTCACAATGGGTAATATTCTGGAAAATTTCAGATACAGGTCAAATGGAACAGACCATTTTGGTTCGGTTCAACCAGAATATTTGGGACCACCTTTGAAGGTCGTCCACCTTGACCGGTCCTACCAGTCAGATCAAAATGCCCCTTTCCATTTGAAAACCCCTGTACCACTCTTCTGCATCCTTTTTACATATTTTACTAAATACAATAACCAAATGCACACTGGCTTAGGTCAGGTCTGTGCGACAAGAATGTACCGTTTCGTCGGGCAGGTGGGAATAAAATTTCAAAGTGGAATTTTTGTTGAATGGAAAATTGCCTAGATATGGTTCGACAAGAGGTTTTGCAAACATTAAAAGATTCTGAGAAATATACCGTTAAAAGGAATCAGATTGTTTTGTAATGCAAAGTTACTTTGTACACCAAAGTGCTATTTATATGACTGAGATGAATTATCTTACATCTTGCAGTTTTTATTTTGGTGAGTTTTAATTTTTGTAGTTTCTTTCAAGATCCATATTAACAGCCCCTCCCCCCATAAACACATTACTGCAAAAATGACCTCAGTTTTGTGTGAAGTAAAATTTGTTCTAGTTGGATTCAGAATTTCCTTAGTTTGTTGCTTTAATATTATTGATAAGCTTCGGACTATTCTAGCCTGGTTTAACATGAGAACAGATTTTACCGACAGCATTTTCAGATTTCGCTTAATTTGCCTGTATTTGGACCCCAATGAAGGTTGTTGAAGACGATAATGCATGTGAATCAGGGAGAAAGACCAGACTGGACCATTCTCAAAATTAAACTCCCACAACTATTGTTAAATTGTACTAGATAATGTGGCACCAATATTTACAGTATGCATGTACTTTCTTTTTCTGTTCCTGTCAGCGTTAAAGAATTGTTAGGATTCCTGTGATGTCTAGGCTGATGGAGGTTAGAAATTAAAGATTGATTATCTGTTAGTTATTTATAGTGTTGGTTTAGTGAAGGTTCTTGTTCTTGTTATCTTTAAGCTCAAGTTGTAAGGTTTTAGATTTGAGGTTTGAGAAATTTGTGTTGTGTCTCAGAATGTTAGTGGAGGGATGGTAGTCATGTCAGACTCTGGATCATAACCCTAACCCTATTTCTTACGACAATAGCCCCCCCCAACACACACACACACCCACCAACCCACCCACACACACACACACACAATCATGTCTACAATCCCACTCCTTGGTGCCTCGTGCTTCTCCAATCGAGAAGAGCTATTCTGTGCAGGCCCTTTAGCTTGTTTTAATTGCCTCTTTTGGAATGTTTAGTTACAGTATGCGACCAGGCTCTCCACAGTGGGGAAAAGGCCAAACACTTGGTGAAACAGCAAAATTAAAATTGGTGAGCCAATCAAGTGAGCAGAGCAGTGGACTGGGGAGAGGGAAGGGCACCACCCTTACCCAGTGTGCAAAGAAAATCGTGTCCAATAGCCTGGGGCTAGTGGATTTCGCTATCGGGCTAGTGAATTTTGTTCTTAACTTGCCCAACGGGCAGGTGCTGTGTTTTGGGGAAATTCAAATTACAGAAGGATTGTAATCAATCCTGCTAATCAAAATGGCTTTTGGGGCTAGTTGAAATGACCCGTGGGCTCGTACATGCTAGCTACAGCTTGCCCGAATGGCAGGCTGTAAAACTGACTTTCTTTGCACCCTGCTTACCCTTTACCTGACTCCAACTTTTTCATTGTTTACTCCACTGCGGAGCCTGGTCCCAGGCTTTTTTTAGTTAATGAACCATTTAGCTTGCTGATTCCACCCAAAAGACAATACTTGAGTTTCCTAACTTCGTTAAACTTTGTATGAACTATAGTTTATGCTGCTCTTCGTTTAGGATTTGCCATCGTTTCCTAGCAGAGCCTCTACATCACAGGAAAACAATGAAAGCAATTCAGGATCCACTTCTTCCAGGAAATTGAGAGTTACTCTGTTAAGCAGTGAATGGAGATCAACAAAAGGAGGCTTGTCAACCATCAACCGAGAGCTGGCCATTCAGTTGGCAAAACATCCCAGCTTGGCTCAGATCAGTGTTTATCTTCCTCAGTGCAGTGAAGAGGATAAAGAAGTTGCTGGAAGTCACAATGTTACACTCATTGAAGCAGAGGAAATGCCAGGTTTTGAACCTGATATCTGGTTGTCTTGTCTGCCAGAAGACCATGCCGTGGACTGTGTGATAGGACATGGGGCTGTTCTTGGTCGTCAAGTGCAGATTCTGAAACGAATTCATCATTGCAAGTGGATTCAGGTCGTTCATACAGCTCCTGAAGAGCTTGGTAAACACAAGTCCTATGCAGATGCCATTTCAAGAGGTGAGAAAAAGCACCAGGCTGAGGTAAAACTCTGTGAAAAAGCTGATCAAGTTGTAGCAGTTGGTCCCAAGCTGACTGATGCTTTCTCAGGTTATCTCCGTGCCTGTGGAAAGGATCGAGATGTTTTTAATCTTACTCCAGGTATCTTCTCTGAGTTTGCTGATGTAACGCAAGCCACTGAAGAAAGAAAAACATTTAGTGTTTTAGTGATTGGACGTGGTGACAAAGAAGACTTTCAGCTGAAAGGATATGACATCGCTGCTCGCGCTATTGCTGAGTTGAAAGACGAGCCACAGCCCTATAAGCTCTTGTTTGTTGGAGCTCCAAGTGGCGAAGAGGAGAAAGTAAAAGATTTGTTACTCCAGCAAGGCATTGATCACAGTCAACTAACTGTGCGTTGTTTTCATGAAAGTAGAGAGCAGTTAGCCCGGTTGTTTTGTGAAGTAGATCTTGCTATAATGCCATCACGAACTGAGGGCTTTGGTCTGGCCGCCCTTGAGGCTTTATCTGCTGGTCTGCCAGTGCTGGTCAGTGGGAACTCTGGTCTTGGAGAAGCTTTGAAGAAAGTTCCTTTTGCTTCAAGCTGTGTGGTACAATCAGAAGATCCTAAAGATTGGGCCAATGCAATCAAAGCTGTTCGTGGGAAAGATCGAAAGTTGAGACTTAAAGAGGCAGAGGTTCTTAGAGGAGGGTATGCAGAGATGTACAGCTGGCAGGATCACTGTAATAGACTCGTCGCACGAATGCTTGCCATTTCGCAAGGTAACAGGCTCACTTTGTAATTCAAATTGGTTTTGATATTGTGTACTGGCATTAATTAGGACATGTGAGTTCACCCAATTACAATGATAACAGTAGTGGAAACCTGACAATGACAAATTTGTCTATCTCTTTTAATAACTCCACCAGAGAAGTCCGCCTACATTTGGCAAATTGAGAGAGCTGTAAAAAAATAGCGATAACATTGAAAGAACGCAAATTTACTTTTTTTGCGACGTCTTATTCCCGACCCTGAGGCTCAAAAGTGAACAGTTGTATCGCTACTCTTTTTGTAGGTCCTACTGCAGATGAGCAGAATTTATCTAGGAAAACGGCTGTGGTCTGTCAAGATGAAAACCCCTCTCCTTCTGAATACCGTCTTCATAAAGGTACACTTGAATTTTAGAAACATGAACAATATGTCCACAAGAGCAATTCATTGTTTTGTATGTAGGAAGGTCTGGGAGATGTACTTTAAAGGGACAGGTTCACGGTTCAGTGCATGCTCATTTATCAAAATGCTGTTTTTCTGCCGGTACATGCTGCATCGTCTATGCAAGCAGTATGATCATGTCATAGTGTTGTCAAACAACCAATCTGCACACTCCTCTGGCAGTCACTTGCACTTGATCAACTTAAATATTTGCAAATACACTGAAACCTCTATTAAGCGGACCCCAATTTAGCGGACACCCTCTAACTCTATTAAGCGGACACTAAGCCGGGTCCCGAAATGAACGTCTTATATTTTCCTTCATAACGAACCCCTATTTTGCGGACGCCTCTATTAACCTGACGCGGACACTAAAATGAATTGTATTTGGCTAATTTCTATTGTTAAAAACCTCTATTAAGCGGACACCGGGCTGAATTGGCAATAGTAGTATTGGATTACGTCCTTGAAATACGCACTGTAGTCGATTAATAAAGATATAAAACATTAAGCTGTCAAAAGTTCACCTAAAAGTCTTGCACAAAGTACAGCACAGCTTCCTTAGCTTCCTTAACAGCATGGAACTTTATTACAGTACGGAGTAACCGTTGAATGTAATCGTTAACTTACATTGTACAATTTTTACAAACCTCTATAAAGCGGACACCCTCTATTAAGCCGACACTTAGGAAGGTCCCGAAGGTGTCTGCTTAATAGAGGTTTCACTGGAGCTTTAAACTAATCAACCAGGGAATAAAACCTTCGGGTCAACAATAAATTCAACGTTGGTATTGTTGGCATAATCGACTAATTTTTTCTGCGATTTTAGTACTCCTCCATCCTACTTTAGGTTACTCTGAAATGCACTTCTACTTTGAAATACACTCTGAGGTCGCTGAGATACATGTGAGTGGGATTATTAACCGATAAAATTAATAATAATTGGAAAAAAGTAATTTAATTAATGAGCATGCTCTTAACCGTGAACCTGTCCCTTTAATTTGGGCTTAATGATTATTCCTTACGGGAATGTTAAACAACCAAAGAATGGTCGAAGCACTGAACAAGACTCGTTTAAGACTGACATGGTCAAAATGTTTTCACACTGGTTACAGGTCAACAATGTGAGATGCCGAAATATAATACTTGTTTCAGTTTTACTTTTCTCGTGCTAAATAGCGTAATGGACCACAGCAAAAGGAATTGCATTTTAAGGGCCTCTTTACAAGGAGAGAGGGTTACCCTAGCAAGCGGGTTAAAGATAGCCCGGGTTTACAAGCAAAATTTCCACAGGTAGAGTTACCCTATCACCCGGATCAACTTTACCAGCTTTACTGAAGTGTTCCGTCACGCGTGACCGCATAAGGCTAAAATAACCACTCTTTGTAACTTCCAAGATTTGAAAGAAAACTTAAAGTTCTTTGTAGAAAACACGATAAATTCACGGAAATACGGGAAAATATTATTATCGTATACAGGAAACACCGTATATTGTTCAGATGTTTATAATTTAGTACAGAAATTGGATAACTTGGTTCAAATTGTTAAGACTATTGGTCACGCATGACGGAGGACAAGGCAGGTAGGGTAACCCTCTTGGTAGGGTAAGCACGTCGTGTAAAAAAAGACGAAATGTCAAGGCTGTGCTCTAAGGAAAATTGAAGGGAGCCCAGTGCTCTGAACCTGTTCAATCTAGGGTGCCCAGCATATGATTTGTATGAAAATACTAAGATTTTCTAGTCGCCTGAGAGCAAAAGTTAGGCCCCAGCGGCCACCGGGCTCTGCTAGAGCACAGCCCTGAATGTGCGATTGCTCGAGTAACCCTAGCACCAGGGTACAGGGGCTAACATAGAGGCTTGGCCATTTTGTATATGTTACAGGTCAAAATTAAATTCAGCTTGAAATTTTTTAACCTACAATTAGGTTGATTCTCAATTTTCTTTTGTCTTCTAGCCTTAATTCATGAATAAGTAGGGCTAGGAGACAAAGGATACGGAGAATCAACTAAGGTGAAAAAATTTTAACCTGGATTTAATTTTGAACTGTAACATATACGTTATTTTGAGTGACATTTCAGCTTGGGACTTCTATATGTTGGCAATTGCTGCGGTGTAGTGTAGAGGTGATCAGTAACAATTGATTGTCCCATTCCAGAGTCCAGGTAACTTTTGCCTTGGAAATCTGGAATTCGGGAAATTTTCTTTCTTCTGAAACCGGAATCCTAGGCTTTGGAATCTGGAATGCATCCGATGGAATGTGAAATCTCGCTACGATTGGAAAGTTGTAGCGGTTAGAAAATAGTCGAAAACATATCGCGCCAACTCAGTCACAACAACAACTAGAACTCTGTTTAATCTCTGACAACACATGACCTACGCTTCCCATAAATGGGCATATGACAGTGGTGTACGGAAAAACGGATACATTCCTTCCCTTTTAACAGGAACGAGGAAAAGTACAATAAAATAAACTCAAATGCTTAAGGCCCGAAAACTAGATTACACTTATTTTAAGCATCGAAAACCACGATTAAGTTCAAGCGTAGTTTAGTCTCTAAACGTGCAACGACCTAACACTAACAAATAACTTTGTCACTGCTTCGTCCATGTCTCTAACAGACAACAATTGCTCCAGAGTGTCTTGCTCTGTAATAATTTGCCTAAACTCAATGCGATCAAAGTCTGGGCTATAGTCCATCAAGCGCTTGTCTTTGTCCAAAGGGACAGATTTCCCTGACAAATCATGGTTGTAAACAGGCTTCCAAATGCGAGATTTCGCATGTCTTGTGCGACGTCCAGTAGCAGCATAGGTGTGAACTACAACAGTGTCTTGGACTTCACCGGCTTCCACAATTTCTCCAACCAGGATCCCTTCATCGGTGTGAGACTGTCGGTACGCAGCTTAGTCTAAGATTAGATTATAGGTTCCTCCAGAGGGATCTCAAATGTGCTGTGACACCGCGCATCCTTCCAAGTGCTTGGCTGCTGGGCAGACAGAGTGCAGATGTTTGAAAGCTTCGCTAACTAGAGCCTCGCCTGGGGGTTCAAGATTCCTAACTAGGACCTGTTGTCCGACAGAAAACTCTCTAACGTTAGCAGACAAATCGTAACACTCTCGTTGCCTTCTCCTTAGGTCCTTTTTGATGCCGGAGAATAGTTTTTGTGCCTCTGAAATCCTCTGAACTAAATGTTTACCATATTCGTTCTTGCTGATTGGCTCGCTTGGGAGCTGAAAGGTGTGATACCATCAGTGCCGTCGATAGCCGAGCTGTTGTGCGAGTACACTGCTGGCTGCAAGTAGTCTTCCCATTGTTTTTGCCATTTGGAAGCAAAAATAGCAAGAGCCGAATTCATGAAGCGGCGAACACGTTCTGTAGCGCCATTAGCTCGAGGGCGATAGCTGGATGTAAACACTTTTTTAATGGACAAAAGTCTGGAGACTTCACGTAGTACAGCGTTTAAGAACTCACCTTCTCGGTCACTGAGAAGAGTGGACGGAAAATCTAGTGTAAGGAATACATTATCAAACAATGTCCTTGCAGCTGTAGTAGCACTTCGATCTGCCGTTGGTATTGCTACCAGGAAGTGAGAGAATGGACAGACGGCGGTAGGTATATAGCCGTTCCCGTTGTCAGATTTCGGGAATGGTCCAACAAAGTCAATTCCAGGTATTTTCATCGGTTCGTCATAGAACCGAGGATGCATGAGACCATGTTGCTGATCAGTGGATTTATGTTTGACGCATTCTAGACATCTTGCAACCCAGCGCTTCGTTGCCTTCCCCTTCCCCTCTCCAATAGAATCTCTAGCGAGGGCATGGTAGGTATTATCTCGTCCTCTATACATCCCGAGTGGCGAGTCTTGATACGCACGCAGTGACCGGGACTTCAAGTCTTTGTTGTCGGGAACGAAGATACGAAGGTGGCCAGGATCGTCAAGAAATTCGTTTGAATACGTAACAAGTCCTTGCAAAATAAGACATCTTTGTGCCAGGTTTTGAATGCGAGTTTGTTCGCGGGACGATAAGTCATGAAGGGCAGACTACTTACTTCCGGCTGATAGATACTTGTGGATGAGCGTTAAGGTTGGGTCTTGGAGTTGAAGAGTGATAAAGTCTTGTCTGTTGGATCCTAGGAGAGTAGGGGGTTCTTCTGTCTAACTGGTAGTTGAGAGATGCTCTGCTTTGGTAGGGGGAGAAGTGCTTGTATCTGCTGTTGTCAGGGCAAGGGCTGTCTTAAATGAATATGAGATGGTCGGCGTAAGAGGGACGAAGTAGTAGGGAGTTTTTCCCAGTGCAGTGACCAAGTAAGCTGACACGTCGACCGGTGGCAATATGTCAACAAAAGTGGCAGATGAAACATTGTTCTCAGACGGGATAAACTGGGTTACGGGGTAACGTGAAAGAGCATCAGGAACTGCGTTACTGCGACCAGGGTGGTGACATAGTTCAAAATTGTATTCAGCAGGTGAGGATTCCCAGCGTTCTAGCTTGGCTTTATGTGGAGCAACAGCGCATAACCGTTTCAAATTATCGTGATCGGTTTCTACAATGAATTTTCGACCCAAAAGGTAAGGGCGCCATTGTTCAACTGCCCATTTGACGGCATAGAGTTCCTGTTCGCTCGTGTCCCACCTGATCTTTTCTGGGTGGGTGAAACGCTTAGCTTGCATACTGAAGGGGCTGCAAGTGATGCTGGTCATCCTCTTGAATAAGTACAGCGCTAACACCAAGCTGGTTCGCATCGGTGTGTACGTACCATTCCTAGGAACTACTGCCTGTTACATTTCCCATGAGGAAGTCTGAAAATGTGGCCTGCATAAGCCTTTGGAATGTGGCTTCAGCTGTCGTAAGGCCGAAAGGCATGGAGATAAACTCAAACAATGCACAGTGGATGACTACGGCTGTTTTTTCACGGTCTTCCTGTCTGACGGGGACCTGCCAATAACCATTAGCGAGGTCCAATTTTGCAAATGATTTGCCACCACCAGCCGGTCGAGGATGTTTATGACTTCAGGAAGTGGAAATCCATCACTCTTGGTGACTGAGTTAAGTGCACGATAATCGACCACTAAGCAAGGAGACTGGGGTTGGCCGTATCCTTAATACGTACAAGAATTGCTGGAGACTTGGAGGGTCGAAGAATGTCCTGTTTTAGCATGACATTGATTTGATCGCGCACGGCTTGACCTTCTGACGGTCACATCCGGTATAGTGGCTTGTAGCTGTGCGTTACCAGTGTAATGTAGTGCTCAGTTCCATGGATACGCCGCGGTGCACCAGGTAAAAGAAATGCATGTGGGTACTGCCGAAGAAGTGTCAAATCGATTGAGGACTGCAGAGTGCACGCGACTGTATTCATCAGTATCTAGGCGCAGTTCTTTTCACAGTTTCTAATGATATTTTTCTGAAAGCGGATCACGTTCGACTACAGAAGGAGGCGGTAGGTCGCGATCATCCATATCATTAGGCTGTTAAAAGGATAGAGTAAATGGGAGCTTTGAACAAGAGTGGCTGTAATCATTACCTGATTGGCCTACTCAGGGAAGTTGGGTTGTACTGGGTCACTTTTATTAAACCAGATAGGTAAAGGGGTCTCCGTGAGAGGAGATGCATCGACAGGTGACTGACAGAAGAGCGAGACATACGCATCGAGTGATGAAGAGAGGACGTCAGCTGTGTGGTACAGTGCAACCTGGAAATCAGCTTTACTTTGAGCAGAACAAGGTGACAGGTAACCAAAGGTGGAATGATCAACATGAGCGCTCTTGTTTATTCACTGCACAAGAACATTCATAGCTCTGAGTTGCTGAAAATCAGGAATATCACCCTCGGAGGTGCCTGTGTCAGAAGGGAAGTTCATGACAGTTCGTACTGCGGATGCACTGAGCATGCCATCGAGGACTCTTACACCCGGTTCGAGCTCATGACCAGTTAGCCATAACTCCTTTCCAAGCAACCCGATGGATGCCGCGCTTAAGGTGAAATAAGTATAAACTGTCAGTAGTTTTAGGCCAAGACATATTAGGGACGACAAGAGCGACATGAACTGTTTCTTTGTTTGGAAGCGAGGTAATTTGGACCTCTTGGACAGCAACAGCATTCAGAGAGGCACCAGTGTCAGCCATTTGTACTGGAATGGGCTTTTAAAGTTTCTTGTACTTCAATTCAGGTCTTGCGGAAGGAATGTGCTGTGCATGATCCAGGCTCCAGTGTGACAGAACAACACCCATAAAGTGGGAGCTGAAGGACTTTACAGGCGGAGGTGACTTGACTTGACAAAATAGAACGATTTAGGTTAACAGACAGTTCATTTGAAGAATGTGGTAAAGTCGGCATCAGAAATAGCGGAGGGTTGGAAGACAGAGACTGAACACCAGAGGATGGTGGTAGAGAAGTGCGTGGTCCTAGTTGGGTTGCCTGTGGTAGTTGAACTTCGCAGGAGTTTGCAACAGGTGGAAGAGTATTTGCATGATCAATATCCTTGCAACCCGGCTTAGAACCAGTGTTACAGTTGTGAAAAAGGCCATATCTGCGTAATTGGTCTGGTAAGACGCAGAGAGGTCGTTAATGTTTGTTCCATAAACGGCAAACTTCGTTACTTCTTTGGGAATTCGTAGAAATGTAGTTTTTCTGCGATTTTTCGGGACAGTTGCCTTTAGTATGGCCATAGGAATTGCCGCTATAACAACGGGGTCCTTTGCTGCGATCACGAGCAAAACCAGGAGCCGGATTATTGGTAAGAGCGTTAGTTTGTTCCCGCGATTGTTTATTGGGTTGACTATGCGAAGGGCTGAACGAACGCTCGATTCGTTTTGCGGCTTCGACGATCTCAGAAAGATCTTTGTATTTTGTCTTAATTCTCACTTTATTCATCGTCATTGTCATCAACGTAATAATCATTGTGAAAGGTTTCAACCCAGGAGTCATTTCATGAGAAGGTTGAGTGTGATCATCCAGGTGAAAGTAGTCATGAATAGGACTGTTGTTGTTGGTGACTGACGTTTCGATAACCTGTGCGGTAGTCATCGACAGAGTCAACGTGAGTTGTATCACGTCAGTTGATGGTATTAAACTCTGGTTATTGACCTGATTGGTCAATTATGTCGCGATGTTAATGGTCGTTTGTCAGTTAAGCCGTGATGTTATTAGCTCTGAAGACTCGGAATGCCGTTGGTGGGTCTCGACCCTTCTATTGTCATAGTTTGACAGTCTTTTGTTGAACATGTGGAAAATTGCTTTATACATTGTATTATTTATAACGGCAAAATGTTGCTATGTGCGTAATTCATGAAAAATTTCTTTTACGATAAACCGTGAAATGCTTAGTCAAACATGCGATTAGAGTAATTGCAGTTAAGCTCATAATTTTAAAGACTGTTGAAGAATAAAATAGTCCCTGTAACCAATAATTCAAAAGCAACAATTGAAAGAAACAACATAACTAAGCTCACCCAATTTATTATCACTGAAGTAGTTGTTGTCTTGTTTGTTTGATCTTCAAAACCATTTTGAGAAGATATAAAAATGCATCTGGTGTGAGAATTGTGTCCTCTTCGCTTTCAACTGGTCTCCTGTGGTGATAATCATTTCGATTTCTGGCCACTTCTGTTTCAGAACATTTGCAGTCAACAAATAACCCATCAGAAAATTTGCAGTCAATAGATAACTCAATTGATATACAATGATTCTCAATACGTTCACTCATAATGGTTCGCTCGTAAATTGATCTCTGGCAAAGTTCGCGGACCAACCCGTTCCAAACTGAACGCTCGGCATCTTTTAGTGTGGGCCTACCGCAAACAGCGTGTGGGTTTGTAAGTGGAATGAGCGTATTAGACTTGGCTGTATTCATGCTTCCTTTTCTGTGCACAAGCAAACTTCTAATTTTCCACCAACAAGACCTTCGATGAAAACTAAACTCCTTTGTCAAGCTACAACTCGTCCGCTCTGGGAAAGAACCATGTGATCAATCTCGACGCCTCTGACTCCGAGCTCTGGGGCTTGGGGTAAGCACTAAGGTCGAGAAAGATAACACATCCGCTTTGAAGAGCAGAGGGCGATTCGCTGACCAATGAAAAACACAGGTCAGACCTATAGTCGGCTCTTCTAAGAGGAAGTCTGATTAAAAAGTAAGACGCGTCGTATTTTTCGTCGTACAAATGGCCCTATTGTTCCACAGGGCCAGTTAAACTCACCGTGTTTAGCACCCTGTTGACCAAAACATTTTTTAAGAGTTCCATCGTTCTTGAATAAGTGAATCGTATGGTTACTAACGTTACTCACTGCAATTTCATCTTGTTCATTTACTGCTACCCCCCAAGGCTTCTTCAATATTTGTTCTCCAAAAGATAACACAGGTCTGAACCGTCTGGGTTTGACTTGAACCTCAAAAGGGCTGCCACGAATATGTTCTCCATTGACCTTCACTGATGCACTGCATGTTCCTGTTTCTTTGGCAAAGTATTTGATTTTGTAAGTACCATCTTTGTTATCTTGGACTCGAACTGTGTCACACTTCCAGTGTGACACAGTCATTATTATCATAACACGGTTGGCATTCCTTGTTTCTTGTTGGCACAACAAACTGTGCCTTAAGTACAGCAGTCGCTTCATTTATCCTTTTTCCATAAACACTCGATTGCTGTACTCTTGTTTGGGTAAGGTAATCTTTGAGGGAACCAATTTGTTCAGCCCTTACGAGATCAAATACCTTTTGATCCTTCACAAAATAAAAAACTTGGAAAAACTCGTCATCACAGTCTCTGTCTTCTTGGTTATTTTCTTCCTTTAATATTTCGTCCATCAGCTCGTTCGGCTGCATGAGTTGTGCGCTTGTGGTTCGCTTTAAAAGTGTTTCACTATCTTCTATTTCTAATTCATGTCGTTTAGCTTGCTCTTCAGTCTCCTCCTTTTGCTTTCCAATTTCTTGAAGAGATGCTTTTGTCCTTCGTTCCACATCATCAAAGATCTCCAGTTTCTTTGCTTCAATGACTGCAGTGATGCTGTCAGCGAACTCTTGTACATTTCTCTTCACCCTAGCGGCTCGTTCTTGAACTTCACGAAGGCTTCAAGTTTGGTAATTTTGCTTCTCTTTATTTGAGCTCTTTTTCTCTGAGATTCAATTGCTAATTTAACTCTTAACTTCCGCTCATTTGCAGCTTGTTCCAGAAGAATCTTTTCGTGCCCATCATGATTCGTTAACGCCCATGGCAAGCGTGGCAGATTGCGACTTCGCAGATATTGCTGAAGAATTCTATTTCTTTTTTCACGTGGCCCGGTATCACACAAAATGTTGGCCGCTTTAAAATGTTCTCAAAGTCATGATCTTGAAAGTCTTCCAATGCCAGGGCAGAGCGATCTTTATTGGCTTTCATCCCATCGTGGAAAGTGATACACTCTCCGCACCAGAAGGCACAACACTGGAAACAAAAATGGCTTTCTTTGCTTCGTTTGTCACAATGTCCACACTTAACTCCAGTGGTGCTGCACTCCGTTATAGCTAATACATCGAGCAAGCAGTTTATACGAACGTTCGTTGACAAAGCTGCTAGGTTTCCGTTATCAGGGACATTGAATTCTTGTCTACACTCCGGGCACGCAATTTTATCTCGTCTGCCACTCGTGCGTTGAATCCCAGTCAGACAATGAAGGCAAAAATTATGCAAACACGGTAACTGTTTTGGATCGTTGTACTTGCACATACACACAGAACATGATACTTCTTCATGAAGGTTGTTTAACAAGGTTTGAATATCCATTTTGAATGTGTTGATGGTCTCGAAAGTGGTAAACGTCGGGAACGGCGAAAACTATGTTGAATATACATCGGAGCCTTTTTGTGGGTTAGGCTTATGATTTTTGTTAGTGACTGACCTCTTGAAATGATGTTATAGACCAATCAAAAAGGCTTACTTGACATGTTTTGACGTTAAGTATCTTATGAGAATGATTGTCAAATTTCCGGTATTTCTTAGAACTGAGTGTCTCCTGACCTTAAGTCAACTGTTTCCAGGTGGCGGGCCAAGTGGGCGTGTCTTCATGGTCAAAAGCATTGAGAGTGACAGCGGTTGAGGTTCATCTTCATTTGTTGGTATAGTAGATATAGGGCGAGCGTTGACTATCGCGGTCTTCTATGCCATAAGCGTTGCGAGTAGTTCGTGTGTAAGTTGATGACTGCTAAGCTCCGCAAACATCGCGTCTAATACAGGGCGAATGTTACCTATTTGGCTCTACCATGCCACACCAAAATGTGAGGCCTGCGATGGGTTTAAGTTCCACTCGCAACCATGGTTGTTTACGTAGCCTTTCGCTTTACATTGGTCCATTTTTTGAAGGAACTAGCATACATGTACTCCAGTAGTTCGATGTGGATCGCTCTGCTACCTAGGCGAGTGAATACCAGTCCCCAGCGTTTAGAGTTGGCTGCGCCTCCACGTGTCTTGCCAGAACGCATCGTCCAGGGGCCGAAAACATCGAAACCAACGTTTGTGAAGGGAGGGGCTATTTCCGTTCTGTCTGCTGGTAGGTCGGCCATACGCCGTTCTATCACTGGTCCTTTCAATTTCTTGCATGTAACTCACTTGTTTAGCTCCTGTGCTACAGTATTGTGGCCTCCAACCAACCAGTACCTAGCTTGGCGGATGGCACCGTGCTTGATCTGACTGTGGTAGTGACGTGTTATCAGATCGGCAACGTTGTTTTTCGATGGGCATCAGAACGGGGTACTTTTCTCTAAACTCTAAAGTAGCGCATCGAAGACGGCCGCCGACTCGTAGAACACCATTATTATCCGCAAATGGGTCTAAACGGTACAGCTTTGAACTCTTTGTAACAGTCTCCAGTTTGTTGCTCTCTGCAATCCTCCGCTCCGACTTCAATTCTTCTGAAAAGCATTCACTCTGTACGGCACGAATTATTACTGTCATGGCCTCCTGAAGTTCCTTTGCTGTTGGTTGCCGCATCAACTGTGTGTTCTTGCTGCGTGATATCTTCAACTCAATCTTTTCCTGACTCTTGCTCTTTCTCCGTTTTAACTCCTTGATTTGCGATTGCACGTTGCA